AACAAATAGCTAATAAATGAACAACTGATGTATTATGTCTGTGGACTTACAATATTTGCATTAATTTTTCAAATATCAGATAATTGGGGGTTCTGGTGACTGTTGTGCGTCTCGTGTGATCACATTAACATGTTAGGGTGTTCCCCCGAGTTCTTTTCGTCGTTCTAACGCACCATCACATCTACCCAAGTCAGTTACCTTGTTGAATACACCACGATCACATCACATCTACCAAAGCAATAACCTCGTCGAATACACCCCTACGATCACATCACCTCTACCCAAGTTAAAGACCTGTCGAATACACCACCACGATCACATCACATCTACCCAAGCAATAACCTCGTTGAATACACCACTACGATCACATTACATCTACCCAAGCAATAACCTCGTTGAATACACCACTACGATCACATCACATCTACCCAAGCAATAACCTCGTCGAATACACCCCTAGGATCACATCACATCTACCAAAGTAATAACCTCGTTGAATACACCACTACGATCACATCACATCTACCAAAGCAATAACCTCGTCGAATACACCACCACGATCACATCCCATCTACCCAAGTTAAAGACCTGTCGAATACACCACCACGATCACATCACATCTACCCAAGCAATAACCTCGTCGAATACACCCCTAGGATCACATCACATCTACCCAAGCAATAACCTCGTCGAATACACCCCTAGGATCTAATACCATCTACCCAAGCAATAACCTCGTTAAATACACCACTACGATCACATCACATCTACCAAAGCAATAACCTCGCCGAATACACCCCTACGATCACATAACATCTACCCAAGTTAAAGACCTGTCGAATACACCACCACGATCACATCACATCTACCCAAGCAATAACCTCGTCGAATACACCCCTACGATCACATCACATCTACCCAAGTTAAAGACCTGTCGAATACACCACCACGATCACATCACATCTACCCAAGCAAGTACCTCGTTGAATACACCACTACGATCACATCACATCTACCCAAGCAATAACCTCGTCGAATACACCCCTAGGATCACATCACATCTACCCAAGCAATAACCTCGTTGAATACACCACTACGATCACATCACATCTACCCAAGTAATAACCTCATTGAATACACCACTACGATCACATCACATCTACCCAAGTAATAACCTCGTTGAATACACCACTACGATCACATCACATCTACCAAAGCAATAACCTCGTCGAATACACCACCACGATCACATCCCATCTACCCAAGTTAAAGACCTGTCGAATACACCGCTACGATCACATCACATCTACCCAAGCAATAACCTCGTCGAATACACCCCTAGGATCACATCACATCTACCCAAGCAATAACCTCGTCGAATACACCCCTACGATATAATACCATCTACCCAAGCAATAACCTCGTTGAATACACCACTACGATCACATCACATCTACCAAAGCAATAACCTCGTCGAATACACCCCTACGATCACATAACATCTACCCAAGTTAAAGACCTGTCGAATACACCACCACGATCACATCTCATCTACCCAAGCAATAACCTCGTCGAATACACCCCTACGATCACATCCCATCTACCCAAGTTAAAGACCTGTCGAATACACCACCACGATCACATCACATCTACCCAAGCAATAACCTCGTTGAATACACCACTACGATCACATCACATCTACCCAAGCAATAACCTCGTTGAATACACCACTACGATCACATCACATCTACCCAAGCAATAACCTCGTTGAATACACCCCTAGGATCACATCACATCTACCCAAGCAATAACCTCGTTGAATACACCACCACGATCACATCCCATCTACCCAAGCAATAACCTCGTTGAATACACCCCTACGATCACATTCAATCTATTCAAGTAATAATCTTGTCGAATACACCCCTACCATCACATCACGTCTACCCAAGTTAAAGACCTATCGAATACACCACTACGATCACATCCCATCTACCAAAGCAATAACCTCGTCGAATACACCACCACGATCATATACCATCTACCCAAGCAATAACCTCGTCGAATACACCACCACGATCACATCCCATCTACCCAAGTCAGTAACCTTGTTGAATACACCCCTACGATCACATTCCATCTATTCAAATAATAATCTTGTCGAATACACCCCTACCATCACATCACGTCTACCCAAGTTAAAGACCTATCGAATACACCACTACGATCACATCCCATGTACCCAAGTAATAACCTCATTGAATACACCACCACGATCTAATACCATCTACCCAAGTTATTGTCCTACCTTCCAACAAAGCCCCATGTTTAAATTCCATCCATCTAATATTTTTGTCGTTTCTAACACACCACCACAATCCAAATGCTTTGTCCCGTTTGAAACCTAAACGTACACACACGCGTCTCGAACACAGTCTCGAACACAAAGTATCTGACACATCGCCACGATCACATTCCGTGGCACATTGGTAATGGGGGATCCACACTCTTCGTGATTGATTGCATACATCCCATAATGTACAACCGTCATCTAATAGTCCCGCTTTGGAACTAAGGATTATGTTGTCATTGTAAATATTGTTTCACCGCAAAAATCGATGTTTTGTATGTGATGTATGTAATGCAAACATGCAATATCGGACATTACAGTCAAAGCCAATGCTTGAAAACGTGTAATACAATAACTCTAGTCCACTGTTTGCAACTTCAAATTTTTAATCCTGCGTAAATGTTACTTTGCAGCTTTCCATAACATGATTTTCCACTTGGGACTAAAACTTTGAAAAAACACGTTGAATGTGTAATTTGTCATGTTGATAGGGGAGAAAATTATGTAGAGATTAGTTTGATAAGCCTGTTTTAAAGAACATTCTTTCTTTTGAAGGGTATTTTCTACGCTTGAAATGTTAATAATTCCTCGAATTAATCCTTCATGAATTATAACCTCAAAAAGGATGCATTAAATATGCATTCAGTAAAGAAAAACGTTTTCGAAAATTCAAGATTGATATGGCTTCTTGTTAATCTGACAATATATTTCATTTTTGAGCTCACCTTTGCTGCCTTTGCAGAGAAAACCTTTAATGATATTGTCACAAATCAGACCTTATTTTCAGCATGAACAAACGATTGTGCGCGAAAGAGCAGAGAGCTTAGGATCAAAGATGTATTCTTATGGAGCATTATCTTTCACCACAAGTCATATTTAATCTTATCTTTGATGACGAATCCCGGATAACTAGCTGTGAGTTGTAATGCCGAGAACCAAGGTCCATAGACTATAGAAAAGGCATCTCCGTTTGTCATGTGAGCTACATTTTGCAAAGACTGACTACCACTCCAGCAAATTACCCTCACGTCCGCCAGAAATAAATTACCGGTTCCAAAACGCCATATGCCATGTTTGAGTTTTGAATTACATCATGTTTGATGTTATAGCTGAGGCCCATCCGCGTACGAGGTTCTGTGCGACGAACAAGTGTATTTTGTTCCCTTAGAAAGCTCCCGAGAAGCGGAAATGTTCATCACCGAGTATTATTTCAATCAAACGTGAAGTAGCTTGGCCTTTTTAGCTAAAATTCGACCGGCGCGGCCCTAATGAAATAATTGATGTTACCCCCTAGTGTCAGCTGCAGGTTATCGATTTGTACAGCCTGTTAGGGAACGGCTTCGGTCGCAAACAGCAATCGCCTTTGAGGAATTTCCAACGTTCTACATGATTAACTCTTCAACATTAATTTGGTTTTTGGTCAGCCTAATTTGGCCCGTTTCACACAAAGACGAGCTGCGAGGGCATTGTTTAATAAATTTCAAGCACCCATGATGTTTCCTTAATATAATTGTCAGAGAAACCCTTCTATTTTCAAGCCTTTGAAATGAAGTGTGTACGCCAGGGATGTCTGCTGCTCCCTATCTTGTTGTTTGATATTAAGCCCTGGTCACATTTAGCTCTATTTATGGCTAATTGGGTGTCTGTCATGCTCTATAAGCCACAGTGTCTTGAAATTCTAACCTGGGCTCAACATGACTCCATTAATTCAACAAATGGGCATAACTCTGGTTCTATTAAATGCATGTAGCGATGTGTGGGTTAGAAAGGATAATGTTTTCAACCACTTGAAAAATAGATGTTATTTTATCCAACACACCACAACAATCCCATTCCGTCTTGCAGAGTTATCGTCCCCGTCTCTGACACCACCATATTCGAATTCCATCCACAAAAGTCACACAGAGAAAACGAGGCCTGATTTAATTTAAATTTTAAATTTTGAATTCAAACAATATATTGTGAGTGAGTATGGTTTTACGCCGCTTTTAGCAATATTCCCGCCTTGTCACGGCTTGGGGGGGGGGGGGGGGGGGGGCACGAAATAATCGAACCCGGGTCTTCGGCGTGACGAGCCAACGCTTTAACCACTTGGCTACCCGACCGCCGCCAAGCAATTAGTAAAGCAATTTGCACGAAGTAGATATGTACATACTTGGTAAACGAATACTAGACTTCAATATTTATGTAAAAGGTCAATCTAATCTTCTCATTCCATCTCAAGTCTTTTATATCTTGAGCCTTAAAGGAAACCAAAGGGTCACATACCTACAAATTGGTGACTGATTGCATGAACCATGGAAGACCACAAAGCGAAAAATATCAAAAGACATGGAGAACGAATTGTCTTGCAAAGAAAACTGATGACACGAGGCATTCTTTGATGGAACAGACACTTTATTGCACGCTCGTGGTAGGAGACGCTATCATTTCAAAATTAAGACATCTTGGAACGAAGCAAGAATCTTCAAACAGTCAGTTCTCCTTAATCGGGATGATGTTAGTGATATCTGCGTTACCTACATCGTATTGTTGCGTTATTCCACAACCAAATGAAGCGGGCGACTTTCGTGATCCCCTTCTGATTAAAGGGGTTATATTTGATTGTTGTTTGTATATAGTTGCTTACAATGTCTTATGTATATTTCAGTGCTGGCGTAGGCCGGACAGGCACATATATCGCCATTGACACGCAGCTGGAGAAGGCTAAATCAGAAGGCATAATCGACGTTCATAACTTCGTAAAGTTGATGAGGGCACAGAGGGTCAATATGGTCCAAACTCTGGTAAGTTGTCGGTTTTATTTTTAGATAGTATCATTGTAGCTCACCTTGACCGAATGTTGTGGCTTCATGTCCGGCGGACTTTCGGACATCCTGACGGAAACCAGATGGTCTTATTATGCCGAACGAGTGAGTATAGTTTTACGCCGCTTTTAGCAATATTCCAGCAATATCACGGCGGGGGGGGGGGGCACCGCAAATGGGCTTCACACATATTATGCAGAAACGTGGCATGGATGATCCAAGCAACGATGTGTCCAAACCTTGCTCATACGAACTTAGTCATGGCTTCCATGGCAGCCATTTTGGATTCGTCATATCTTTCTTCACTCATTTTTTTTTGCATGTTTTATGATGAAATTTGATATTCCGTAAGTATGTTGTATGCGGAATAAGAGCTCATTGTTTGGATTTTCAAGATTTTCTAGAAGAATGAAGGTGAGCTTCAGAACTAGTTTCAATGCAGAACCACTGGTCTGTTCCTGGTGGGTCGGTTCATATGGAAGACCGGTGACGGAGTGGTATTTGTGAAATTCATTTGTTTACCCCCCTCCACAATACTCCTGCAATGCTGTCAGCGATGCTAAAATCCCAGTCAGATATCAATAGGCTCCGACTGCCTATGACTAAACTTAAGTCGGCCATTGTTTTTGTTTAATTTGGAGGTTGTGTTTCCAAGGTAATATGATCGTCAAATGCTGTATTATTTTCTTTAAGTATAAGGGGGATTCTCACGCATTATGACGCTGATCAAAACACGCTGGGCGTTTACATCGACTACTTCAGCAGCGTGTATTACATCAACGTCGTGTTGGTTTAGCAAGAAACATCTCCCTATATAACGTTCTGGCTGTTTCTACACGTCTGTATCACAATAGCATGGTTTATTGCATTCGTTTGTGTGAGTAACACCGTCAGTTCAATACATCATGGCGGCAACGTCAGTGTCTATCGCAATGAATTAAGGCAAGAGTGGTCATAGGGAGAATTGCTATCCCACGTGAACATTACTTCTGTGATGATGTGCCCCGTGGACAATTATTGTGCTATGAATCATTATGATCAGGTTCTTATCAACGCGGTGTGTTTGCTGCTGTGAGATTAGTTGAAAAAAATGATATAAAGAATACATAAAGATGCGGATATGCGAGATGCAGACAGTAAAGATGGGGGAGAGGTTTGGGAGAAGAGGAAGGAGAGGGAAGGGGGAAGGGGAGGGGGTTGGGAGGAGAGAAGTGGGACTAGAGGAGGGAGAGGGTTGGGAGAAGGGGAGGGGGTTGAAAGGAGAGGGTTGAGAGAAGAGGAAGGAGAGGGTTGGGAGAAGAGGAGGGATAGGGTTGGGAAAAGAGGAGTGGGAGAAGGTTGGGAGAAGAGGAGGGGGTTGAAAGGAGAGGGTTTGGAGAAGGGGAGGGGGTTTGGAGAAGAGGAGGGAGAGAAGGGGGTGGGAGAAGAGGAAGGAGTGGGACTAGAGGAGGGATAGGGTTGGGAAAAGAGGAAGGAGAGGTTGGGAAAATAGGAGGGAGAAGAGGAGGGATAGGGTTGGGAAAAGAAAAGGGAGAGGGTTGGGAAAAGAGGAGGGATAGGGTTGGGAAAAGAGGAGTGGGAGAAGAGGAAGGAGAGGGTTGGGAAAAGGGAAGGGGGTTGGGAGAAGAGGAAGGAGAGGGTTGAAAAAAGAGGAAGGAGAGGGTTGGGAGAAGAGGACGGATAGGGTTGGGAAAAGAGGAGGGGTTGAAAGGAGAGGGTTTGGAGAAGGGGAGGGGGTTTGGAGAAGAGGAGGGAGAGAAGGGGGTGGGAGAAGAGGAAGGAGTGGGAAAAGAGGGATAGGGTTGGGAAAAGAGTAGTGGGAGAAGAGGAAGGAGAGGGTTGGGAAAAGGGAAGGGGGTTGGGAGAAGAGGAAGGAGAGGTGTGGGAGAAGAGGAGGGAGAGAGATGGGAGAAGAGGAGGGATAGGGTTGGGAAAAGAGGAGTGGGAGAAGAGGGTTGGGAGAAGGGGAGGGGGTTAGGAGAAGAGGAAGGAGAGGGTTGGGAAAACAGAAGTGGGAGAAGAGGAGGGAGGGGGTTGGGAGAAGAGGAGGGGGTTGAAAGAAGAGGAAAGAGAGAGTTGGGAGAAGGGGAGGGGGTTGGAGAAGAGTAGAGGAGAGGGCTGGGAGAAGGGGAGGGATGAGGGTTGGAGAAGAGGAAGGGAGAGGGTTGGTAGAAAAGAAGGAGAGAGGGTTGGGAGAAGGAGGGGAGAGGGCCGTGAGAAGAAGAGGGGGAGAAGAGGAGAGGGTTGGGAGAAGAGGAGGGGGAGGGTTTGGAGAACTAGAGGGAGGGGGGGCAGAATGGGGAACAGTTATAAGAAAACAGCCTTTTAATATTCTGATTGGAGGTGGAAGGGGCTGGGGGCTGGACTTTGTTAGGAACAGACTATTTCTGTCACTACTCTACACACATTTGTCTTCTCCGAAAGGAGGAGGCAATCCGTTAGGGGATGTCCACAACACAAGAAAAAGGGAAAGAAATAATTAATGCATTGGAGTGGGCTAGCACTATAAATCGGAATCAATCCGGACTATTACAAGCGCACGCACACACCACACACACACACACACACACACACACACACACGTCGTTATATAAGTGCACAAATCTTGGACGCGACGTTAAACCTCAGTTCACCTCCCCTAATCCATTGGAGAAGAAGTGTTTAAGAAGATGGACAGACGAGCTGAAGAGAGAGACGGAGTACAACAGCATTACACAAAAGGAAAGAGGAGAACGAATATGGGAGACTTCACCTTCCTGCCCTTATGATATTAGAAGAATAAAATCAACATTTACTCGTCGCGCAAAGTATTCTTATTCCAATAGTACCGCGGGAGTCTGATAGCTGTCGTGATTTACATCCTCTTATTAGATTTTTAGTGATGTATCAAATTCCCACTTAATGACCATCAAGCGGTTTAACTATGTTTACGCTCATACAATCTTTATGTTAACGCCGTTATGCTCAGCTCTGTTCGATTGACGTTTGGACCCGGACCCAATTTCTCTCTCGGCATATCATGATAAAGAATATGTTGTTAGGAAGCCAGTGACAGGTTGCATGGTTATATCAATGAACATGCTGTATAAAGTAGCTTAATAACGTAAAAACTGAACAATAAAACACGCGCTGGAAAGGTGTAGGGCTTCACATCACTCTTGTTTATGTTGTTGCTAGGTTACGATTTTTTGAAGTTATGCGACTTGACGATGAGGATATGTTTTATGACAGAATCTGATACAATGTTTTTCAAGAATGTCGTGAAACCACTTCAGTGCCGCGATACTGAATTACAAATTGTTGTTGGTTTCAAGAATGCCAGTCTTCAAGTAACCTGTTATCTCTAATAACCATATCATGCAAGATAGCCATGTCCTCCATCACTGGCCCTGCATATATATGGCACCTTAAACAGTTTCAGAATTGCATGATATGACCATATCATAAATACACGATGAAACGACTCTTAAAGTGTTTGTGTCAGTCTAATATCAGTTGAATGTCCGTTCAAATACCGCAGCCGTAGTCCAATATCAGCTCAATAGTAGTCCAATATCAGCTTAAAAGTAGTCCAATATCAGCTCAGTAGTAGTCCAATATCAGCTTAATAGTAGTCCAGTATCAGCTCAGTAGTAGTCCAATATCAGCTTAATAGTAGTCCAATATCAGCTCAGTAGAAGTCCAAAATCAGCTAGGTAGTAGTCCAATATCAGCTCAGTAGTAGTCCAATATCAGCTTAATAGTAGTCCAATATCAGCTCAGTAGTAGTTCAATATCAGCTCAGTAGTAGTCCAATATCAGGTCAGTAGTAGTCCAATATCGGCTCAGTAGTAGTCCAAAATCAGCTCAGTAGTAGTTCAATATCAGCTCAATAGTCCAATATCAGCTCAATAGTAGTCCAATATCAGCTCAATAGCAGTCCAATATCAGCTCAATAGTAGTGCATGGTAGGCCCAGTCGTCTAAGGCGCCGCGAGTTGCGTCCCTTGGGCACGCCAGAAACCTATGATTGTGGGTTCGAATCCCGGTTCGCCCCGATTACGTTTCTAGGTTTGTCAGCACCATACCCGTGCTCGTGGGTTTCACCGAAGTGGTAAACGTCTGAGACCTACATCACTTCGGGCTTTCCTCACACATTAAGCTGACACGCCGCGATATAACTGGAATAATGTTAAAAGCGGCGTTAAACCCAACTCACTCACTCACTAATCTGGGCAATGTGAGTTGGGGCGTTGACAGGGGTTCACTATACTTGAGGACCAACTCTGCTAATGCCACTTCCCCGTGGGCATTCCGGGTAAGAATGCATCTACAACCACTTCATGGATCGCGTGGTCAAGCTCGTTGACTTGGTTGATTACTTGTCATCGTACCCAAGCCCCGACGGCGAAAGTCGTTGCACATAATATCAATCACAGAATTGTCTGGTCTAGACTCGACTGCTTACTGGCTATTAATATTGTTGGAATATTGCTGAATGCGGCGCTAAACGAAAAACAGATAAAATATCCAATTGCGCTTACTGACAAACAATCTATAGGGTCGTAACAACAGCTCAGTCAACAACATCTTATCGTTTGTACACTCTAGTTTGCGAGATAACTTCTGAAAAGAGAAACTGTCTAACTATTCCAGCCTTTGAAAACAATACATGTTGTCAAGTTCTGAAATCGTTATATTCTCCCGTACATCGAGAAAAACACACAACTTACAATCATTTTTGTGGGATCTAATGTAAAGGATTTGAAGAAACAAATAAATTCACTTAATTTGTGTAGAATATGGCTTTGCAATTTGTAGAACTTTAAGGTTTCTTAAAACATCGTGTCAATTTACAACAGAACATTTTCCAGTCCCCGATGTCTACTCTAAGCACAGCAACATAGCCCTTCGCACTCTCGCCATGCTCCTAAATTCTCTCGAAATGCATTTCTTTCCACTGTCAACACCATCTCCTGAGAAGCCAATGGACCAAAGAAGCTGGAATCGCATATCCTTTGTTTCCACCAATGGGGACACCTAAATTTGCTCAATAGGCTTGAGGGGCGGTCGGGTAGAGTAGTGGTTAAAGCGTTCGCTCGTCACGCCGAAGACCCGGGTTCGATTCCCGACATGGGTACAATGTGTGATGCCCATGTCTGGTGTCCCCCGCCGTGATATTGCTGGAATATTGCTAAAAACGGCGTAAATCCATACTCACTCATCCCCAATAGGCTTGAATCTGATTTTCAATATGGCCACAACAGCAGCCATGTTAAGATAATCTATTTTGGCCATTACAAGGCCATTTTTTAACAAAATGTAATGACATTCGTTAATTCTTTAGTTGTGGTATTCAACACACATGCTCCATTTTTGCAATAATTTAATTTTTACCTTCTTTGGCCGTGCTCTTAAATTCTCTCAAAATGCATATTTGGCTCTGTAGACTTCTACTCTGAAACTGATGGAGATGGCTTTGGTATGTACACTACTACTGAAAAACAGTTAAGGACCACCTGATTCTTTTATATTACTGGAGTTAACCTGTTATGTCGTGTCATTTCGTAACTTTATGATCTTACGTCGACCTTTGGTTTTTTTTGTAAACGTGTGTCATGTATTAAGATGTTCAGGCATTCAGATGAAACTTTCAAATTGCTGTTGTTTTTCGAAACGCTTAAAAATGAAATGTTCATCCTCCTGGTTGGAAAAACGGAGGGATATACTCCTAAACCGTTGAATATTTCTTGTTGGAGCTTGCTTTCCATAACAGTCTAGTGGTGGTGATGATTTGGGATATTTATTTTTTATGTTTTCATGAACACGAGTTTTACTTCACTGAAAATGAGGGTAGTGCCCGTTTCACGAGCAGAACTTCTTAACCGCTGAATATGTCTTGATGAAACTTGCTATTCAGAGCAGCCTAGTGGTGAAGTGGTGCCTTTTGATGATTTGGTGATATTGGAAAATACTGACCAGCATTATCTTTTTTCTTCGCTGAACTGAAGGTATCCAATGGCAATGAAACAAAAGTGGGATATAAGTAGCCGAACTCTGTTTCCGAATTGCACCAGACCGGGAGGATATGGCATATCCTGATGATTCTGTTAGTGGTTATATGTGCTCGGTATTCCGGGACATGTCCTATTACATGGGTGAGTTGAAGGCTCTTCAAGTTTTGCTCAACGATGTTTACCGCCCATGAGATCGGATATGCTGCTCACAGACATAGTATCATTATCAGGCTGAATCAAGGATTCGAACACACGATGAGCGGATTTGGCACGAATAATTGACCAACATTAGCGCATTAGGCCACTGGGCCACCTTTTCATCTAGCCACATTACGAACATTTGTAACTCTATATGGATACTCCTACAGACAAATGTCACCATTAACCTGGTAATGTCAAGTGATTAAATATATTTGCCAATTTCATTAAACCAGATCTTCGTTCTCGCTATCGCTATTCAAAGATCTGAGGACATCTCATTACGGGTCACGTCAGAATGACCTTTCATCCGACCAATCACAACGTCTCTTTCCAGATCGGGAAAGTGACAGTCGGAATGTGTTTTCTAATCATTCAACCTCGAAAAGGTTTACACGGGGTATTCCGAACGACAGTTACGGGTTGTACGGCTGATTCCGTCAAAATCTTCGTCTGTCTCTCGCTTCAATGCATGGGACAAACACTGACACGGAAAAGGCCTCCACAGCCTATGGGAAGTACTGCTGTACAATCTCTGTCATCTCTTCCACAATCAACCATTTTGTTTTAATCAGTTTTCAAATTCTTAATCGAGAACTTTGTCAAAATGTTCCCAAAGCGTAGTCGCCACTTTGAAACTAGTACCGCAAAGCTGGAGAAACCTTGGTTAATGTCGACAACTTGTTAGTCATTTCATAGGTCGGTCAAAGTTCGCGAAGGTCGTTGTGACGTGATCATGAAATGGGATGTACTAAGATCTTTGCGAGTGCAAAAATTTGATTGTTATTAGATTGTTTATTTGCGAGACATTCTACAGGGAACAAATGCTATTTTATGACTTCATCAACCTCTTGTTTCTCCCTGGCAACCTTTATTCTTAAAATGTTCATCAATTATATCGATAATAAGCTAAAGTAGGCGTCAGTGGAAAATATAAAGAAACTTTAGCATTCATTTCCAGAAATGACAGACATCGATTTAGGCTTACAGCGCCATGAACATAGCGCCAGAACAAAATACCAAGGCGTTCTGAGCGTAAATAATACCCTTTCCCGAGGGTCTCATTCCGGAGAATGGTTCCATCAAAAATAGTCTCCGATGACCTTTTTGCGGAATTGTCCAATCTTGTAAAATCTTTGACTTATATCGCAATCTATAATGAATGTTATTGTCCAAGAGACATGCACGAATTGATTTCTTGAGTCATGAACCTTTTCAGACACAATTCAATTACTTCTTGGCATCTGATCCGAGCGTTGACAACGGCGCAGTCAAAACATCACTTTCATTTGGCCGGAGCAACGATTATGTCTTCGGAGGAGTCGCAAAAATATATACGTTAGCCTGCAATGATTGATATTATCCTAATTTAAAGGAGATACTGTTAGTGTGAGAAGAGATTTCATTGCTTTGACGATTCGGACTTCTTTCGATGCTAATTTAATTTTCTCTCCTTTGGAAGAAAGTTTGAGAACTTTGATAAGCCATGCGGTGTCTAGATGTCTCATGTGGCCCTGTCTTGCTTTCCGGAAAAAGCATTTTGCGATATTTCTGCGTCATCATTTACAGTGATTGAGTGAGTGTGGTTTTACGCCGCTTTTAGCAATATTCCAGCAATATCACGGCGGGGGACACCAGAAATGGGCTTCACACAATGTCAACCATGTCGGGAAGCGAACCCTGATCTTCGGCGTGACGAGCGAACGCTTTAACCACTAGGCTACCCGACCTCCCTCATCATTTACAGAATTGTACTTATTCTGGAAACAGTTGGCGATCTTACTGATCCTCTTGGACGTCGGACAGTGTCAACTACACTAAAATAATTTTAAGTATTTAATAGTTACCGTTGATATTTGACTTATATGAATAATTCATGGTGGTTGGAAAAACAAGCTTGTCAGCCTTAAGTATATAAGTATTATGTTTACTGAATATTAACCAAGGAAGCATTACATTGTATTCATTCCAATTGTAATAACATTATGGATGTATTATTTTTACTTTTTAATGGTGATCCATTGACATAAGGCGTCGCAACGCGCTGTACAGAGTTGCGTCCCTTAGTCGTGCCAAGATGCGCTGGTCGTGCGTTCGAATTGAGTAATCATGCTGATTTTGATCCCATGTCTGCACGATGTCGTTGACGTTATAACGTTTACGAACTGTGTCATCTGTTGGATTTTTTCCCCACCTATGCTCACACACCGCTATTTTACATATTCGTAATCTAATTTTATAAAACGTTTAAAGGTAACTCAGTCACACACTCTGAGGACACCAGCTGGACCTTCAGTTTGGTTACAACATATAGTTTTGACATTCATTTAACATCAACCATTTCTTTTCCAGGAACAGTACATCTTCGTGTACGACTGTTTGCTGGAGGCACTTATCTGCGGCGACACCACCGTCACCAGCCACAACTACGTCGACAGCTATTCGGACATGTGTCAGTTCGACTCGGAGATAGGCAAAACGAAGATTGAGGAACAGTTTGAGGCAAGTTGCTGCACTTGTGTTCACTGTATAAAAACACCACACCACAACGCCTGCACCTACGTACACATTCTTACACATCTCCAACCACATCTCACAAACCTAAACCTCTAGCCTCAAGCACAAACTGCTTGCGGCTCAACCCAAACTTCAACGTCGCCACCAACACAAATTTGAGTTGAGACGACTGACATCCAGTGGGCTTTGCATCAATTGGAGATAGATCGGCAGGCTAAGAGGGTCGACTACATGTCATCGTTCTCATGTCACTCATGCTTTCAGTCATTGTTTTGCCACGTCCAGATTCGATTATCTACACGACGCCATATTTCACAGAACTTCCATTCACAGAATAATTACCCATTAGATATTAATGCATATCGCCCCGTTTTATTGCACATATTTTAAGTAAAAAATATGCATGCTGACATAACGAAGGGAGGTAACTCGTGTTTTTCACAACTATAGTTAAAGCTTGAATATTGATGAGTGCGCCTTTAAACAACATGCACCCACTCACCGAAGCCTTAATGCATTGCACTATTGTATCATATATAAGTTAAGCAGATTTAATAACCGATGTGAGTGATTTTGAAGACTTAATACCATCACAATAATGATGACAGGTTTAACTTTTCGCCTTGTGACAGTGTGTAAAAAGGAAGGAAATCCGTCGCTCGGGGTTTAATAAGCTAGATATGGCTTCAACAAAGCTATCGAGGATCAAATTTTAATCGACTTAATATTTCTTAAGCTCTTCATTTCAACTTGAAATTCAGTTACAATTATTGCATTAAAAGTGCACTGAGTGTGTTTACAATACGTTTTTTTATCAAAGAGAAAGATGAACATCCGAAGGAGTACAACATTCCATATGGGTCGCATTGCCCTGTCAACACGATGCATTATTGATTTACGTTTTTTATGCATCTAACGAAAAGATGGTCTTACTTTGTATATCATATAGTTTGGTTTGTTCTTAAAGTACATGCTTAAAGTGACGACAGTGGGCGAAATGCCAGCGGTGGCCTTGAAGGACCGTGAGCAGTTATATACTATTGTCTGGTACAAGAAGTCACTTTCATTTTTCATTTCTACAAAGCCACTTATACTTATACCAGGTTCCGTCTTATGTCTACTTCACAGACAATAAATGCCTAAGGTATGAAATCAGGGCGCAAATGAATACCGAAAGCTGTTCATGAAACCAGTCACTAAGTGCCATCTTTGTAACCTCCGGGGAAATATGTTTCACAAAATTGGACAGAGGCAGGATTTAGAAATGTTTTAGGAGTAGCGAGCCTAATCAATGCCTGTTTAAGACGAAACCGTGTTCATGTGAATATATTGCTCACATATGAAGGACGTGTTAGTTTCAATGCAGTCTCTCTTATGGATGTGTTGATAGGCACACACTCGGTCATCTGTCATTTTAAGGCAGGTCTCGGCGGGTTGTTTGTGCGGCATTTTTTTAAGGAAGACAATGACAGACATTTTTTTTCCTTCCAATGTGTAACTTGTAATATAGGAAGTCAGTGGCCATTTGTTCTGTTTCAACATGAATGAGTGAGTGGGTTTGGTTAAACGCCGCTTTTAACAGTATTACAGTTATATCACGGCGTGTCAGCTTAATGTGGGAGGAAAGCCCGAAGTGATGCAGGTCTCAGACGTTTACCACTTCGGTGAAACCCACGCTCACGGGTATGGTGCTGACAAACCTAGAAACATAATCGGGTCGAACCGGGATTCGAACCTAGATCATAGATTTCTGGCATGCCCAAGGGACACAACTCTGCATAACTAATTGTGGCGCCTTAGACGACTGGAACACTCGTGCCCCTTCAACGTAGATGACTACAGACTGATAAAAAAAAACGCGTTAGTCCAAGTGGAAACGGTGTGTCTATCTTTTTGTCTTTTTACGCCCAATAGAATATGTTTCTATATATATTCGGGACTGGTTACTCCCTAGACGTGGCGTTTGATTTTTTTAAAGATTAGACTGAAATAAGTATTGACTGGATAAAATGACAGCTGGTTATGAATAGGATATGTTTGGTGACCGTTAGTTTATCTGTATTTTATTAGTTTGCTCACACTATCAAACATTGGTTTGGTTAAGACGATGGATTAAAACCATATTCATTCAGCAGACATTAGTCCCTTGTAGGTCTGGGCTAGAATGGTCTTCAGCATCCCATGCTTGTAAGAGGCATCAAAGGGAATCGATTATATACAGATCGCCGTCATATAGCTAGAATATTCGTAGTAAACCTAAGCAGATCTTCGAATCAGCATATAGTTACAAGGGTCCTGTTTTTGTGGAACAAGCCAAATAAAAGATAACGAACTGAAACAGTTAGATTAGACTTCAAATGATTCTTCGTTTTTTGCATGCGTACAATCTGCTGCACCATCTACCACTTTGGATTCTGCACGGAGACAAGATACACAATTCTTGAACATAAGTCGAAACGAGGAAAAAGATTCTTCAGTCGCCAAGATGTCGGAACGAGTACGGCACATCTGCCTGTAATAGCACTGGAAAGTCCTTTTTTCGAGGAGTTTCCAATATCCTATGTGCTCAGTGAGCCCATTCTACAATAGCAATTTGCAGAGAGGCTTTTTTTTACCCCAGTTCTATTGACAAAATCCAGCTGTTTGTCATTGTCAAAGATTCAGGATTCGGTTTAATTTGTTGCTGCAAATTCTTGGCTGATTTGTCACAGGAAGCGTTTGGATTGTATAATGCATAGGTGTAGTCCATCACATTGTAGCGTGTGGCAATGGTTTCTTAATTGCAGAGTCTACGTCACAGAAAGCGATTAACTACCTTGTATTGTCAGAGATCGATTAGTAGTCGTCCTTTTATACGTAAAGCTTTTTTAGTAGTCGTCCTTTTATACGTAAAGCTTTTTTAGTAGTCGTCCTTTTATACGTAAAGTGTTTTTAGTAGTCCTTTTATACGTAAAGTTTTTTAGTCGTCCTTTTATACGTAAAGTGTTTTTAGTAGTCCTTTTATACGTAAAGTTTTTTAGTCGTCCTTTTATACGTAAAGGTTTTTTAGTAGTCGTGTAAAGGTTTTTTTAGTAGTCGTCCTTTTATACGTAAAGGTTTTTTTAGTAGTCGTCCTTTTATACGTAAAGTATACGTGGAATACAAATCAGGCGACTTTGTGTTTATGGCTGTAAGGAATCAAGACCTGTCCATTAGGTTTTGAATAAAGAGAAATGTCGACAAAATTGAGTGAAAATGACAAGAAATTTATCGATTTTGATTCAAACTGGTAGAAAGGTCATTGTAACTTAATGTCTCTTTTCAGATTTTGAAACTTCTGTCGACGACGATAGAACGTGATGAAACGACAACAGCGCTGCGTCCTGAGAATATATTCAAAAACAGGTGTAAAAACATAACGCCAGGTAAATATTATGATCATTTGTGGTGAATGTACGCAATGATCCGACCCGTGAAGATCCGGGGTAGAATAGGTTTTCAGCAACCCATGCTTGCCGTAAAAGGCGACTATGCTTGTCGGGATCGGGTGGTCAGGCTCGCTGACTTGGTTGATTCATGTCATCGATCCCAATAGCATATTCACATTAATCTTAGATTGTGCCCATGTCCTTTTGTTATTGCCATTTTGAGAGTACATTTGATTTGAGCATTATCGAGATGCATATTCCGTTTCAGCCAATCGGTGTCGACCTTACTTAATGACTCCGTGTGATGGCAGCAACGATTACATCAACGCTGTCTACATCAACGTGAGTACAATTATAACTAATCCAACTTCACCCCCACCCTCACAACAACCCATCTCTACCACCTCATCCCCACCCTCACAACAACCCATCTCTACCCCCTCACCCCCACCCTCACAACAACCCATCTCTACTCCCTCACCCCCACCCTCACAACAACCCATCTCTACCCCCTCACCCCCACCCTCACAACACCCCATCTCTAACCCTTATTCCCCACCCTCACAACAACCCATCTCTACCACCTCATCCCCACCCTCACAACACCCCATCTCTACAACCTCATCCCCACCCTCACAACAACTCATCTCTACCCCCTCATCCCCACCCTCACAACAACCCATCTCTACCCCCTCATCCCCACCCTCACAACACCCCATCTCTACCCCCTCATCCCCACCCTCACAACAACCCATCTCTACCCCCTCATCCCCACCCTCACAACAACCCATCTCTACCACCCCACCTCCACCCTCACAACAACCCATCTCTACTCTCTCACCCTCACAACAACCCATCTCTACTCCCTCACCCTCACAACACCCCATCTCTACCACCTCATCCCCACCCTCAAAACAACCCATCTCTACTCCCTCACCCTCACAACACCCCATCTCTACCACCTCATCCCCACCCTCACAGCAACCCATCTCTACCCCCTCATCCCCACCCTCACAACAACCCATCTCTACCACCTCACCCCCACCCTCACAACAACCCATCTCTACCCCCTCACCCCCACCCTCACAACAACCCATCTCTACCCCCTCATCCCCACCCTCACAACAACCAATCTCTACCCCCTCACCCCCACCCTCACAACAACCCATCTCTACCCCCTCATCCCCACCCTCACAACAACCCATCTCTACCCCCTCACCCCCACCCTCACAACAACCCATCTCTACCCCCTCACCCCCACCCTCACAACAACCCATCTCTACCCCCTCACCCCCACCCTCACAACAACCCATCTCTACCACCTCACCCCCACCCTCACAACAACCCATCTCTACCACCCCACCTCCACCCTCACAACAACCCATCTCTACCCCCTCATCCCCACCCTCACAACAACCCATCTCTACCCCCTCATCCCCACCCTCACAACAACCCATCTCTACCACCTCACCCCCACCCTCACAACAACCCATCTCTACCCCCTCATCCCCACCCTCACAACAACCCATCTCTACCCCCTCACCCCCACCCTCACAACACACCATCTCTACCCCCTCATCCCCACCCTCACAACACCCCATCTCTACCACCTCATCCCCACCCTCACAACACCCCATCTCTACCACCTCATCCCCACCCTCACAACAACCCATCTCTACCACCTCATCCCCACCCTCACAACACCCCATCTCTACCACCTCATCCCCCACCCTCACAACAACCCATCTCTACCACCTCATCCCCACCCTCACAACAACCCATCTCTACCACCTCATCCCCACCCTCACAACACCCCATCTCTACCCCCTCATCCCCACCCTCACAACAACCTATCTCTACCACCTCATCCCCACCCTCACAACAACCCATCTCTACCACCTCATCCCCACCCTCACAACAACCCATCTCTACCACCTCATCCCCACCCTCACAACAACCTATCTCTACCACCTCATCCCCACCCTCACAACAACCTATCTCTACCACCTCACCCCCACCCTCACAACAACCTATCTCTACCACCTCATCCCCACCCTCACAACAACCTATCTCTACCACCTCATCCCCACCCTCACAACAACCCATCTCTACCACCTCATCCCCACCCTCACAACAACCTATCTCTACCACCTCGTTCCGATGATGTTAAGGGGGTATTGGGTGCTATTGTATTTTACCACCACACCCTCGTGGGAGATTCCGGGTCGCAATTGGTGCCAAGTGACAATGCCTGTGGCTAGAAGCCACTAATTAGATCAGGTGGTCAGGCCATGTGACCATGTTGATTGATGCCACGTACCCGTACAGCATGGTACGTTCGTTGCTCATAATATCAATCACTGGTCCAGACTCGATTACCAAGAAACCACCCCGATATAGCTGGTATTTTAGTGACTGCAATGTAATACAACAACAAAACAAAGCTCCCATGAATATATTTTCAACCAAATGAATATACATGTATTGGTTCGGTACATATCCCCCTCGCTATACACACTGGTCATGGGTTCGAACCCCAATAAACAATTACCTCTGCAAAACGGTTTTAGACCAGTAATGTTGCTACCCTGGAATCGTTTGGCTGATGCTCGGAGAACCCCTTTAAGGCTCCATATTTTTCTGTAAACATTTTGTGATGAGTGCTTGGCAATACAAATAGTGATATGAGTGAATTTATCATCATCAAACTACGGATAGAAATGACAAAAGTGTATGTAATTGTTTCCAGGGTTACCGACAAAAGGACGCCTTCATCACCACTCAGATGCCCCTCCCGAACACGGTGGCTGACTTCTGGAGGCTGGTGTACGACCATCACTCCTTCTGCATCGTCATGTTGAACGAGATTGATGACAAGGATGAGGTACGTGAACAATGTACTTCAAAAACCACTTCAGTGAGTTAGTGAGTGAGTTTGGTTTTACTCCGCTGGTCTTAGACTTGTTTCCACTTCGGTGAGACCTACGATAATTGTATCAAAGACAAAAAAAAGTTAAACAAACAGATTCGGCGCCATTGTCAGAAAACGAAAAAGGAAGTTTTCTAACAGTTAATTTCACGGTTGTCTGGACTTAAGTTGACTCGAACGCACAATGGATTTCAATTATCCCTACAGGTCCAATATAATAAACTCATTCTTCTCGCCTTTCAAACATAGAAAAAAAGATCATTTGCCGGAGAATGTTATGAAAACAGGGATCAGATTTCATGGCCAACACAGTCCAACAAAGTGCTGACACCAATTACGTCTTTGACGAAAGAGTTTTGATTACTTTGAAAAATAAAAAAAATATAAATTCTCTGGGAAGAAAACCGATGTATTATTTCACTTTTTCTTGTCCATGAATCATATTCAGGAAAATGTTTGAACAGTCATTGCTCATTTCCATAACGAATATTTCTGCCCGGTTGGGAATTGATTTTCTTCACATAATCTCTTTCTTGTAAACAAACATTTAAAAAAGAGTCATGCCAATTGGCCTTAACGATAGAGAGTTCCATTCCTGGTACAGCATGGGCGGTGGGATGAAGCATAATTCAAAGGAAATCCTATTCATAAGGATCACGTGAAAATGGTGTGATTCCAATTCTTAACGAAAAAGTCCAAGTCAATCATAAACAGTAACATCTCCATGAATAAATTGTGTTTGCATGTGACGGGGGATTATGTCTCAAGAATCCAGTATTGTGGAGTGGACTGAGAACTGGGTGGTCACAATGGAAGACGGGTACACTCTGTGGAGGTCACTGTGAATGACTGACGTTGAGGTTGACCTGGCTAAAAGAGTGACTATGTAGATTGTGTGGTGCGTCACTCGCGCTGTAGTCCAGTGTTTCTCATTATTGGTTTTTCTGATGCAGCTGCCCGATTGCCATGTGACCTATAGAAACATATCCCCCCATGTCGGGATGTATAAGCCACGACATCTTCCTGAGGCAAGGGAGTTAACTGACTATAGACGTCCAGTTTCCACCCTTGCCGAACTAGGCTGGTATTATGGAGTTTCCTCCCTTGCCGAACTGGGCTGGTATTATCGAGTTACAATTTGGCTGTACTAACAAGTCAATGCATTGTCCAATCACAATCACGCAACGAAATCGAAATCGAAATCCGGTTCGCGAACTGTCATACAGATTTCGGTCGCTTGCAGGACTTGTTGTAAACAGATGTTTTCCAAATCGTTACATGTTTTTAAACAAGGTGCTCACGTCATTTGATACACTTCGCAATGTAAGACCCTTTTTATCACAATATTGATCTTGATTATCGATCAGATCGTCTTGACGCAAAACTCGTCTTGTTTGAAGCAAATGCATGTGATGCGTGAGGTGGAATCTGATTGGTCCATGGGAGAGGCATAGAAGGGACATAACTCGTAATAGCCACTGGTGGCATTACGATCGAGCAAAGGAATTCCAACCTAGTTCGGCAAGGGTGGAAACTGGACTTTTAAAGTCAGACAACTCCCTTGCCTCGGGAAGATGAAGCCACGACCATTGGGCAGGATAAGCTCCCAGTGGTGTTGGTAAAAGTAGTTTATCAAACATGACTCAGTGATTGCTTGGAACAGTCTATTCATATGATTATCTGGTGATTACAGTCTGTGATCTGACCGCTTGCTTGTCATCTAACACTGACTGTGCGGGTCGTAAATATAAAACGTCAACGCCAGAGAATAACCAGTCTCAGTTGTCTGCCGATACAGATTCCATTAGGCGTAAAAGGGAAAATAGCGCTGAAAACTGTATGAATGGATCACTGAAAATCAGTGATGAATCTAGGTGTTCGCGAAAAGGGTAAGCATGTCGCTCTACCGGTAGCACACGCCACTCACAGAATTTGCGTAAGAAGTGTGTTTGTTTCCTAACGCCGCACAGCAATACTTCCTACTCACACCACAATGTCAAGACTCTATTATTTATTGCCGCGATGAAGTACCTGAACTATTGCTCACATCGGCGTTCAACAACATTCACTTAATAGAAGCTACGCATGACGAATCGGTGTTTATTTCAGATCGATGTGATGCATTTCCTATGCTGACGTTTATTCAAATGTATTTAAAAATTGCATTTCCCAAATAAATGGAGAGAAACTTTAACCAACATATCTATTAGCTCTTTTACACCAAGAAATCGTGTAAAATCACGCTGTTTCATAACATATGTCTGTCATACTGCACACACTAACAAGACATATCAATTTGGAGTAGGCCCTCCGACAAGGGTGTCATGTACCTCCGTGTTTATTGATTATAAGCGCGCAAATGCAGGGATATTAATTAAGCGTAACATCGACATGCGGACATAGAACAAATACAAAAAGCCCAGCAAGTATGAAATATCGCCTGGTATTTTGATCGATCTCGAAAGTGGAAAAGGTTATGTTTGAAGAAAATCTGGGAGTTGGCATTGATATTGAATGTTTTACACCAGAATTTTACAGATGAGTCTAAGGTTGCAAGGGGTATTGCTGCTCGTTTGTCTGGCTCTCATCGCCGCAAGGGGTTATCAACCACGCCGCTTTAATTACACTAAGATATTCATGTAATTATACTGGCTTCAATCATCGGACGCAGTTTATTAACATGCCTTTTTCGCTCTCATTTCATTCTGTAATACGTCAGACGAGGTCAAATTACTCTACAGTTGTTTGAAATTTTGGCTTGGGATGAGTCAGGGTTTTTTCAGTTTATTTTGTCGATCATGGGAGTTGTTAAAAGTTGGATTTTTACTATCTCTGATTCAGCCTGTTGCGTGAATCTTTGCATTGTAAATTTGCGTTTCTTTAAGTATGGTGACTAAGACCAATCTCTACAGACCAGACAGGAGCCGTCGTGACCATCGACAAACATTTCACATTAGCTGATAATGTGGACTTCAATATTCGGGTTAGACACGCATTTAGTTCAAGTACATTTATCCTGATATCAAACAGCTGTTAAATGAATTAAGGTATTGGATAAAAAAAATTGAGATGTGCTTTTTGCGTTTCAAGTTTCCGTTTATTGATATTTCTTGTCAGACCTTCACGCCTTGAGCATGGCTTGGTGAAAAAAATCGTGGTTAATTTAAATGAATCGATACGCGCTTAAATATCCAATTAAACTTTTCGTCTATCCTCTTTCTGTTTCGCCTGAGTTGATTTTAAGAAACTGATAAATTGGTCTCGTCCACTTGATTAACATTTCAAGCTTCAATAATGATTCCGTGTGTATTCTTTGACAACTGCACATGGACATGCAGTTGTTGTAGTAGAAGGGAAGTGTTATAACTGGAAGGGTAATTGTGGCACTAGTCGTTCTTGTAGAAGCCGTTGTTTTCGTAGTAGTGGGTGGGTAAACTTCGCGTTAGAATTTTTTGCACTAGTATATCGACGTGTATGCATGTCTGCTTGTAACAATGCCGGTTTTATAGTGCTAGCCCATTGAGATACCATGCCGCGGTTAAACATGAATACCCCACTCAGTTTTCGACTCCGAGCCGACCAGTCCTTGTTTTAACCCTTTAATGCCGAGCACCAGGCAGGGTAACAACAAGTGCCATCTTTTTAACGTCTTTTGGTATGACGCGGCCAGGGGTCGAACTACCGACGTTCAGCACCGAACTGCCGACTTTCCAGGCAGACGCTCTATCCACTACACCGTGGAGGCGTTTTTTGTTGTTGTAGTAAAGTCAGTTGTCTCAGTAGTAGGAGGCGAGGGCACTGACCTAAAGAGCGCTATCTCCCTCTGCAGAATTGCTTCTTTAGGTTTGCCAAGATATATTGATCGACGGTGAGAATCCCAAATTTGATTGGATTCGATTATTCTATTTGGTGTTTTACCCTCCACGTGCTCGTAGGTTTCAGAAATGCGGTAAACGATGACAACTTACGTCACTTACAATTTTCCTCCCAAATTAAGATGACATGTTGTATTATCACAGAATACTGTTCAGAGTGCGTTAAACTGAACTCGCTCACTCCTCACGCACTGTAGTTGGATGGTGTTGATGTTGGTTGGTTGGTTTGTTGTTTAACGCCGCACTCAGCAATATTCCAGCTATATGACGGCGCCTAGACCAGACAATCCAGTTATCGGGATGTTGTTGATGTAATATGATTGGTTTCTGTGGTAGTAGTAGTAGTAGTAGTAGTAGTAGTAGTAGTGGTCCGGTAGTAGTAGAATTTTTGTAGTAGTGGTGGTCGTAGTAGTGGTGGTCGTAGTAGTAGTAGTAGTAGTAGTGGTGGTCCGGTAGTAGTAGAATTTTTGTAGTAGTGGTGGTCGTAGTAGTAGTAGTAGTAGTAGTGGTGGTCCGGTAGTAGTAGAATTTTTGTAGTAGTGGTGGTCGTAGTAGTAGTAGTTGTAGTGGTCCGGTAGTAGTAGAATTGTTGTAGTAGTGGTGGTCGTAGTAGTAGTAGTAGTAGTTGTAGTTGTAGTAGTCAATGTCTTCGAGGTATCCTTATCTATTCCTGACACAATAAAATCCAGTGATTGATATTACGAGCAAGCTTCAGCGCCGCCGGGTCGCGATGACACTCAATCACAGAGCCTGACCTCCAGATCCATTTAGTGACCTCGTAGTACATAATGCTCTGTCTTCCAGACGTGCGAACAGTACTGGACTCTCGACACCTGCGGTAACAACTACGGACCCTTCATCGTGGAGACGACGGCCGAGATCAAGTCTGACCCTGCCGTCACTGTCAGGGACTTCACCATCACCAACACACAGATGGTAAGTCTTACAACGTTGAATTCTGCAAAAAGTGATGGCGCGATTCACTTTGTTGGTAAGCCACTTTTAATAAATACTTAAAACACAAATGTGACACTATTACCAACAAACAATTATTGGTTTGTATATTTGTATAGAAAGGTTTGTGATTATTGACGACTCGCCTCCACTTGTATGTTGTTTATTTATAAATGTAATAATTGTTTGAATTAGAAAAACACGTTTCACGAAGTAATTTTGCGCCGTGATTTTCGAACGTTCCACACAGTAACATAGACTTTGCTTTGAGGAACAAGCATTCGGAACACGCCAACGACGAGAAATGAAATGAACCTCGGAAATTTAAATAAGATATTTGGTCTCCAGGAACGCTGTCAAAAAGCGGCTTTGGCGCTACGATTATCGCAGCTTCCTTACTTAACCATTTACTCGGTAAGGGGAGGGACGTAGCCTTATGAATATTGATTCATTCGGAACACACCGACCACGAGAAATATGATATGATTCGGACATTGTTTATATGTAGTTTTGATTAATTATTGTTATTGTTCTAGAGAGATTGTTTCTTGTAAAAACTCCCCGTGTTTGTTGCAGCCGTCTGACTCCCCCCGAGTTGTCCGACAATTCCACTTCCACAGGTGGGCTGAGGGGCAGAACGTTCCCAGCTCCAAGATAGCTCTGTTGGAGCTCCTGGACATGGTAGAGAGATGGCAGCACCAGTATGAGAATAAGCCAGTCACAATTCATTGCATGTGAGTATAAATGTTTTCAAAGGATTCAAAATTTTGGTTCATATCAAACTTTGTTGTCACTAGTTGTGAGACAAGTATTATACATGTGTTCATTTCGGTGCTGAGATCCGAATTTCACGGTTGACTCCGTGCGAGTAGTTGTTACGAAATGTTTATATTTGTTCAAGATCGAGTCAAATGTCGTCATCTAAAATTAGTTATTGGACTGTAGTATACTAGTATAAACAATCATATGAATATTAGAAAATAGTCAGGGTTATATTTATGCGATAAGTTGTCAGGAATGTTGTATTTGATTAAAGACCGTGCCTCATTGTTAGAACAGTTTGTAGGAAAATAGTATATTTGAGAACCAGGCGACAAAAGTCTGGGAGTAGCTGTAAGGGGAGTGTGGAATGTCCTAGAGACGAGACGTAACGGGGACTATCAATACATTTGTGTGGGCTTTTTTGGAGTTAGGAATGTATGAAATTACTGGAACCTGTCTGGATAAGGACAAACTAATCAGAACTTGTTCTGCCTGTGGGCAGTTGTCTGGAAGGCTGTATATCGGAATAGTCTGTGACAATGTCTGTCTTGAATAACCAAACTACATTAGTGTCAGCTGTTTTATCCATCAATATGTTCAGATGTCTGACACACGTCAGTGTTATCGTTACCATGTGGAGATTGGTCGTTATGTCGTACAGAATAGGGACATTATATGGACACGGGTTAGAATAATTGTCAGTAGCAGTATATCATATGGCGAAAAACCCTACCTTGATATTGTTAGTAGGGACATAAATCCCACCCCTCAGGAAGAGAATATAACTTGACGAAACACATGGTTGAAATCCGCCATTTGTTCCCGTTATACCAGACGGCGAAGCGAGCAGATGACAATATCCTTCCTGTTTGGTTATTGGTGTATATGTCGTATTCTTAATTAGAGAGAGTGTTTTTGATTAAGTGAGTGAGGTGGGTTTAACGCCGCTATTAACAGTATTCCAGTTATATCCGGTGTGTCAGCTAATATGGGTGGAACGCCCGCAGTGATGCAGGTCTCAGACGTTTACCACTTGTGAAACCCGATTTCGTCTGAGGTGAGGTGAAATGGGGTTTAACGTCGCGTTCAAGATTATTGCACTTATATAGCGTTCCAATGTGTGAAGCCCATTTCTGGTGTTCCCCGCCGTGATATTGCTGGAATATTGCTAAAAGCGGCGTAAAACCATACTCACTCACTCACTCACTCACTCATTATATAGCTTGCTTGCGTACGTGCGTGCGTGTGTGTGTGTGTGTGTGGCTGCTTGTACTAGTCCTGACTAATGTCGATTTTATAGTGCTAGCCCACTGAGATACCATGCCGCAGTTTAACATGAATACCCCACTCAGACATAGTATAACTGACTCCGAGCCGACCAGTCCTCGTTTTAGCCCCTTAGTGCCGAGCACCAGACAGGGTAACAACAAGTACCATCTTTTGACGTCTTTTGGTATGACGCGGTCGGGGATGAAAACCCCGAACCTTCCGCTCTCCGGGCGGACGCTCTACCACTAGACCACGGAGGCGATGATTTGGTCCGAATCTGTATGATTCTTCTCTAAGTGTGTTCGTCATGTTAGTTTACTTGTTGAATAGTTCGATAGAACTATATACTACTACAAAAAGTTAAGGATCTGTCAAAAACTTCGTAGAGCTACAATCTCTTTTGGCACATGGACCATTAGCCCAGTACAACAAAGCAATTTTAGGATACGATTGTCGTCAAACTTATACTTCAACATGGCCTTTGTACTGCCCTAGGTGTGATTATCTAGCACGACAGACTAACTGTAGTAATATGAAATAATCGGGTGGCCCTTAACCCTATTGAGTAGTAAAGAACACGACTTGGAGAAGTGTTATATGACTCCGGCGCAAAGAGCGCGGTTTTTTTGTCATTAACATGTGACAACGCAAATGTTTTAAATACACGTCAATCCAAATTATGATTGAGAATTTTGACAAAACCTTTGCCGTTATTAAGCGATGGAATCCATGTAATTCTAAACTGGAAAGCGTTATGACAAGGCACCTATTTCCGACATGTCTTGTAGTTAAGGAGATGGTTTATTCCAAAATCCATCTGATTGAATTTGGAATTACAAAATTTGTCAAAATTGAGGAAATTACTTTTGATGAATGAGAAATTCAGTAAGTTATTTGTCAAACTAAAGAGACACATTTGCCTTTGAGAGTGTTTTGTCTGCATTCAAAAACATTAAGTAAATCCTGAGGTAACCACTTTGATGATCAAAGTGGTTTCATCATGAAATGTGTTTGTTTTTTTCAAAAATCATGCGATGTTTCTTGTTAAGTTATCATGATGGATTTAAATGTGTGACTAGCTATGGTTCTGAGTCATCAGATTATAATCCTTGTTTCTTTTAGATCACTACGAAAATAAACCTTAAATTTCTATTTGAAGATTCTCAAATTAAAGATTTGATTCAAAATGCCTATAATCATTATGTGTTGTGTATTTATTTTTAAAATGATAATTATCTAGAGTACGGGCTCCACAGAAAGTTCAAAGGACATGAAATTATTAAGATTTCCCCGATCAAAGCACCAGTTTACATTTGCACTCAGTGTGCACTCAATTTTCATTCTCAGCTCCCTGGGGAATATACAAATATAAATAATGTACAAATATGCGTGTGCATTTCGTATACTGCCCAGGGAGATGAGAATGAAAATCGAGTGCACACTGATCCATTGACCGGGGTAATAAATATCAGCACGTTCAGCATGCACCTTGTTTATGGATTTTGGGCAATATGAGTAGTAGTAGTAGTAGTTGTGGTGGTGGAGGTCCGGTAGTAGTAGAATTTGTAGTAGTGATGGGCGTAGTAGTAGTAGTAGTAGTAGTAGTAGTAGTAGTGGTGATGGTCCGGAAGTAGTAGAATTTGTAGTAATGAAGGTCGCAGTAGTAGTAGTAGTAGTAGTAGTAGTAGTAGTTGTAGTAGTTGTGGTGGTGGAAGCCGGTAGTAGTAGTAGTAGTAGTAGTAGTAGTGGTGGTGGTCCGGAAGTAGTAGAATTTGTAGTAATGAAGGTCGCAGTAGTAGTAGTAGTAGTAGTAGTAGTTGTAGTAGTTGTGGTGGTGGAAGCCGGTAGTAGTAGTAGTAGTAGTAGTAGTAGTGGTGGTGGTCCGGAAGTAGTAGAATTTGTAGTAATGAAGGTCGCAGTAGTAGTAGTAGAAGTAGTTGTAGTAGTTGTGGCGGTGGTCCGGTAGTAGTACAATTTGTAGTAGTGATGGTCTTAGTAGTAGTAGTAGTAGTAGTAGTAGTAGTGGAGGTCCGGTACTACTAGTAGTAGTCGTGGTGGTGGTGGTGGTGGTCCGGTAGTAGTAGAATTTGTAGTAGTGATGGTCTTAGTAGTAGTAGTAGTAGTAGTAGTAGTAGTAGTAGTAGTAGTAGTAGTGGGGGTCCGGTTGTAGTAGTAGTAGTAGTAGTAGAATTTGTAGTAGTGGTGGTCGCAGTAGTAGTAGTAGTAGTAGTCTGGAGAAAGGTAACCCTAATAAGTATGCGTTCAAAAAAGTCTTGTGATTCCATGTATGTTCGGACTAATATGGGCTTGGTAATCAGACATATTTAAGATCTGAAAAAGATTGATTACTATTTGATCAGCCAGCCGCTTGTTTAGTTTTGTATGAGTGAGTGAGTGAGTATGAATGTCGTTTACTTCGGGTATGTCACAGCGTGTCAAATTGATATGGGAGGAAAGCCAAAGACGCCGGGTAGTACAAAGAAATCGAAGCGTTTAAGTTCACGTTAAAGTAGATGAGTTAAGACAGCCGTTCCCCTACACACAGGGCAGTACAAAGATTTGTTTGTTTGTTTGTTTGTTTTACGCCGCACTCAGCAAAATTCCGTCTATATGACGGCGCTCTGTAAATAATTGAGTCTGGACCAGACGATTCAGTGATTGATATCATGAGCATCGATCCACGCAATTGGGATTCGATGACATGCTTCAACCAAGTCAGCGAGCCTGACCACCAGATCCCGTTAGTCGCCTCTTACGACAAGCATAGTCGCTTTTTACGGCAAGCATGTGTTGCTTAAGACCTATTCTACCCCGGATCTTCACGGGTCGCAGTACAATGAGATCGTAGCGCTACGAAGTTCATGTTAATATAAGAGTCACGACAACTGTATCCGTAGAATTACTTTGTAGCACTGGACCAAGGGTCCATGTTCCCAAAGAGACCGTAGCGCTACGAATTTCACGTTAAAATATATGAGTATCGACAGCCGTAACTGTATAATGACACCAGAGCCCACTTGCACAAAGCGATCTTAGCGCTAACATGATCGTACCTCCCAAACTTTAACATAGATTTACGATAATCTTAGCGCTAAGATGGCTTTGTGCAAGTGGGCCCTGGGCAATACAAACAGATCCCATGTTACGAAGTCCCATTTTAAAATATAGGCGTTACCACATTCGCAGCAGAACGGATGTTGTGTACAGTTCTAGATAAAGCTATTACGATGATAGTGTTAACATAATTAATCGATTAGGATATTGTGGCACGATCAATACACTTGCAAGCTAATCATACCAAGCACTCTCCAGAAAAGGTCACGAAAAGATAGCTTAAGTGTTTTAGTTGAAACCAATTGAAACCAAATGGATTTAAAGGTTTCCTCCCAACAGTAAATCAGTAAGAATATTATGTGTTGGGATTCAGGACAATGCTGGACGCTTATTGCGTCCTGATTTATGTTTCTTTGGAACCAGTGACTCATGCCTAGATGACGGATTGGCAACAATTTATATAAACCATGACATGTAATAAAATTTTATCATATTAAACTAAGGGAGGCCAGCCATTATGTATCCAAGGATGATTATGAAGATTTCGTATTGAATCACAGAGGTTTAATATTTTCGGTCTGAGATTTGAACCTGTGCGAGCGTATTGAGTCACTGACGCTTCATGTCTCGCGACGCGTGCGTGCTGCAAGATGTTAAGAAGTTAAAGCTGGAGTTCGAGAATCAACATATTTGTCGTTATGGAAGACCACAGGATGGCATAGCGGAGCAAAATGAATCAGAGTCACTTTGAAAAGAAGCGATTAATACGGGTATTGAGTCATCAAATATTAGAGTTGATCAGAATATGAAATGTGATGTAGAATTTTCTATATTTTACAAATTGAGTAGAGACTTAAAAGGACGAGAATTGGTAGCCATCTCTCATCTGACAAACGTCCGTATGTTTATGCTGGTGATGGCGACAGGGTGATCCTGGAAAAGGCGCCTCTGCTCAATGAGTAATGTTCATTAACTTCCAGGGTCCTGTTTCACAAAGCGATCTTAGCGCTAAGACTCCAATGCATAAACATTGACCTTCGACGTTCATGCGACTACGATGGCTTTGTAGGACGGGCACCGCTGATCCAGGGTTCGGATACAGATTCAACCATGTTCAGAACCGACCTTTGATATCGTCGACCGCCTCCGTGGTCTAGTGGTAGAGCGTTCGCCCGGAGAGCGAAAGGTCCGGGGTTCGATCCCCGACCGCGTCATACCAAAAAACGTTAAAAGATGGTACTTGTTGTTACCTTGTCTGGCGCTCGGCATTAAGGGGCTAAAACAAGGACTGGTCGGCTCGGAATCAGTATATTGTGTCTGAGTGGGGTATTCATGTTAAACTGCGGCATGGTATCTCAGTGGGCTAGCACTATAAATCGACATCAGTCCGGACTAGTACAAGCAGCCACACCAACACACACACGTACATGCACGTCGCTATATAAGTGCAATAATCTTGGACGCGACGTTAAGCCGTATTTCACCTCACCTCTGAACATGTCTGATGTCTGGGAAAAGAAAAATATCCTGTCTCTTACAAAAATCCCAACACCTCCCACACAAAAAAAAAGAAAACCTATTAAATGGTGTATCACTTATGATCCTTTTCTTTTTCTGTTACCCTACGGAAATCCTTGGGAGGGGATACGTAATGGTACGTTTGGTATCCTGCAGAAAGAGGACAAAACGTTGGCACAGGATACAACGTGTCATCTACACCATATCAGTATTCATGTAAGACATTAAGTATGACAACCATGTGATTTTGACCAGTATTGGTCGTGTATGGGTTGGTAGTGAGATTGCTATTCCCCTGATTAACGAGGATGGTGTTTTCAGGAACGGCGCGAGTCGCGCTGGCCTCTTCTGTGCCGTGAGCTGCATCCTGGAGAGAGTGAAGAGAGACAAGGAAGTCGATGTCTTCCAGGCAGTCAAGCAGCTCCGTCTGAATAGGACGCAGCTCATTGACAACATGGTGAGTACAATTGGGTGAGTGAGTGAGTGAGTTGGGTTTAACGCCGCTTTTAACAGTATTCCAGTTATATCGCGGCGTGTCAGCTTTGCCAAAATGAAGCCGCTCCCCTCTCCCTTGCTGTCATTGCCGGATTTGCTCATAGTAGTAGTATTATCTATTAAGTCTTTGACGCCGCCCGTCGCATAAACGTACGTATGCAACTCACAAATGCTGATCTCCTGATAGTGGTACATGTTCAATCCGAAACTTCAGGTAGGACTCCCTTGCCAAACGTGAATCGCCCCTACGACTTGCAATACGATACATGTACAGTCAGTGAGTGAGTGAGTTGGGTTTAACGCCGCTTTTAACAGTATTCCAGTTATATCGCGGCGTGTCAGCTTAATGTGGGAGGAAAGCCCGAAGTGATGCTGGTCTCTACCACTTCGGTGAAGCCCACGAGCACGGGTATGGTGCTTTCAAACCTAGAAACATAATCGGGGCGAACCGGGATTCGAAACCACAATCATAGGTTTCTGGCGTGCCCAAGGGACGCAACTCTGCACAGCGAATCGCGGCGCCTCAGACGACTGGGCCCGTGCCCCCTGGTGAGTACAATGCAGGATCACATAAACTTACTACATCATAGATAGTGGTATAACTCGATAAACTTAGTATCACGGTCCGATAAATATGCAAATGAGCACACTCCGTCGCAGTGGTAATTTGCATATCACGTGACCAGACTCTCTTATTCTGAAATCAGAAAAGATTAGCCTAATGCAAGTATTTTTGGGGCGCTTTACATATTGTTTTCCATAATTATATAGATATGCTGATACAACTGCAACAGTGAGGTGCATGACAATATATATTTTTACATCAATGTGACCAATCACTAGCTAGGACTTCGATGACAGCACGTGGAGCCGTACAACCAATATAAACAAAGGATAGCTACGCAAATGGAAATAGTTTTAGGATATTTTCGCAATGAAAATTAAACATTCTATGACATGTTATCTAGATGTTTAGACTTGTCAAAAATGAAACTGATGAAAAACATATTCATTATCTTGAATGGACTATGTTTATTATGTCTAAAGAGTCTTTGCTGGTCGCATGGAACTCTGGGTAGGAAAGTGGCAAATGAGGTCACATAACAGGAACTACTTTTAAAAACTCCATACATCGATACAACTCAAGAAACTACTTGCAAAAGCAGCGTTGGAAATACCTGCCTCCCCGACCGTCCAAGACGGGCTGTTTTCGTCTCGGGTAGTTAACTTTTAGAAAATACACGCCCGATAGTTGTGTTGATTTTTAAACTGTATATGTAAAATATATTAATAAAAAAGGGTGTTTCACTCGTATAAGCTGTCATGAAGATCTACGAATACATCTATGTGACACATTTGCGACTACACGAGATCTTACTGTCACAAATGTTAGCAAATGCATTAACCTTTTGAGAGTACTCTCAACACGGCAACAGTGCGTCGTGCGCGTGGCATAACAATGCGGGGCCGCCAAAATGGTGTGTTGAGCTTTGTGGTGACCAACATGGCGCTACAGCGACCGACAGATCAAAGACTTGGTCCGATCAATTTCTCAAAATCGGACTGATTATTCTCTGACGTTGGCGTTTTACATTGTAACGGACATTTAAACGTGTACTTTTATTTCGTTACAGGAACAATACAAATTCTGCCACGAGATCGTCCTGGACTTCCTCACATCTCCGGAAACATCTTCCGTTCTCTCATGACGTCACTGCCAAACCGGAAGTCACTAACATAGCCAGCGGTCTATGCATCTGCGCAGAGGATTTGTTCAGTTATCGGAGTCTGTGAACGGGAAGAAAATGTAAATCTTTTGGTTTGAGGGGAACCGTCCAAATATTGTTGCCCGTTTGAAAGACAAAGTGTGGTCTTAAAATTCTGCTCTGCGTCAGAAGTTTAGGTCGTGTTCATGGACGCCATTTTATTAACATCCGGGCGAGTGAATATGAAAACGAGGCTTTACTCTCTACCTCGAAAGAGATGTAGAGTATTCAAAGTTCAATCCAAAGAGAGTATATTAGCCAAGGCCTAGACTGTCTGGTAACCCATTATAAGGTGCTATGTTCATTCAATACATCACAAATAATAGTTTTACAGAATAATGAAACAATGTGTAAAAACTACATGGCATCTTTGTCGAAATGCACAATAATTTCAACACACAGCAAAGTCTTACATAAATTTTCTACAAATCAATATTAATAATGTTTCCATACACCTAACATGAGCTTAAGTCGGACGGAAGAAAAGGGAACGAAATTCACACGGATGTGCATAAATAGTTTCCATGACTACACTCTTAACTGTTCCTTATATATAACGCCTCATGATTTTATCTGATTTAATAATTAATTGTGGTGACACCATTAAACCAAGACAATCTGACAAGTGTGTCAACTCGATTACAACACAGTATTTTCATGAATCATGGAAAACGTTTGAAATGATGAATGAACACGAAAACTGGATGCTGATTGGTGCTGTGGAAAATAGTATATTTCAAGACAACATCCTTGCGAGAGAAATGGTTGTGACGTCCTCGGTTCAGTGAGGATCCAACAGAGGATCGAGCCAACAGTGAAAAGTAGTCGTTAGTCAACCACCATCTGTTATGAATCCTATTTTCTGGACGTGTGTTTGTGATAGTTTGCTTGTATGAGATGGGCAGTAGAGCTGTGTAGATCAATTAATTGAATGAAATCCAAGAACCTGTATATAAACATGTTGCAAGTATCGAAGATATGAAAACAATCGCGGTTACTTCCCTTGGCTTTGCTGTAGTAACCAGTGTTCTGTCAACAGCGTTTGTGAAGAGAACCTCATTCGGATCATTTCGTGCAGCACTTCTTACAGATGAAGAGAATTGACGATGTTTTCAAACTGACGTTCTTCCATTAGTTTATTTCGTGAGAGCATCACGCCACACTTCTCCAACTTCAAGACGATTTCTTTGTATTTTTTAATCCAGATATTGATATGAAAATCTGACGAACTGCACCGTCTTTCATCCTCATTGTGGAATATTGTCAGCCTATTTCACGTGTGTTGAAATTGTTAAAATGAACGGTAAAAAGTCATCATACGGATCAATTTTCCGGAGTATGTCGATTTGTTCCGAATGAAGGTATTGGGCCTTTGCCATGTGGCCTCTGGGATTGTTAGATATAGAAAGAGTGCTTCATTCGTAGTCAGTCGGGGTATTTACTAAAGTCATTAATTTATTTCCGTATCATCCTCTTTTGATGATGTAAAACTATAAATGGCATTTGATGAAATAAAAGCAAAATTTTGATGCGAAATCGGAACTTTTTAAATTCATTTAAAAGAAATGTATTCTATTTAAACGGAGTGAAAAATATTTGTATTGAAGAAAGTACAGTACCTGACTTCAATATCATTTACCATGTTGAAACCGTAAGTGCTATTTAATCAACTCATCTTTTTAGTACACGCTTGACTAAAATATAACGATGAATTGTTTTAAATGTGTCATCCTTGATTATGCAGTGAATTATATCTCCATTCTATTATGATATGTACCATGGACCCGATCAGAATCGGACGTCACGATGCTAACAATAGCCATCCAATCAAATTGCTCTAATGAGCGAGAGAAATTCCGTGCCAAGTAAGGGATGAGAGAGATGGACATGGTCAATGAGTGAGTGAGTATGGTTTTACGCCGCTTTTAGCAATATTCTAGCAATATCACGGCGGGGGACACCAGAAATGGGCTTCACACATTGTACCTATGGGTAATCGAATCGCGAGGCTACCCGACCGCCCCCTAACGTCAATAAGCCCATAGTGGCGAATGGGTCAGGGTATATATCCTAACCAGATAGATATAATAAACCCTGGATAACCGAGGATGAAAATGTGTATGCTATCAAGTATTGACATCACAACAGCGTTTTTGTGAATAAATACTTATTTAATCCGCCAAAATGTACAGTATATCTGTATATCATTAAAATCGTCAAATATCTCCAATTTGCATGAGACGTGACACTGCTGACGATCGATGCTCTAGTCAACTCATTTATTGCCTATGTGACTTGTACTGTATAGATTATTATTTGACGTGAGTTTCTTATAGTGTATAAATGTGATCATTAAATGTGCTAGTCACGTGTATCTGTATATTGATATTAATCAGCCATGATATATGAATATAGGCTGACTATTTTATCAAATCCTAATCGCCTGTTATTTCCCATGACATGTTTCAATATTAAAATAAATGTACCTGTCCTAAATAAGAGTCTTGTGGTCAAGGGGAGGTAACTAGTGCAAGTACCGTTACGGTGAACGGAATGTGAGCAGCTGGAAATGCATGTTCGAACCGCGGCTTCAGAGGATGTATTTTAGACGACTTTCACACACATTGGCACCCAATATACACACATCTGCTTGTATTATCAAAGCTGTACTGAGCGTTTATTTATTACTTGCATTTACAATTATTAAATTAATTATAAACTCAGATGTGCGACTAGTTGAAGGCATTCCACAGGCTCTGTAAATCCATGCACGATCACGTCATTACGTAACCATCGTTTCTATGGAGATGAGTAGGTGAGTGAGGGAGGTTTGAAGGCCGCTTTAAGCAGTTTTTCCAGTTACATCCCTGTCGGCTTAATGTTGGAGAAAAGCATAACATGATAAAGGTTTTTTGTCTATTATCACTTTTTTTAAACAAACTAGCCAATCTCATTAAAATCAGATCTCAGTTCTCGCTACCGCTAAACAAAGATCTGAGGACTTCCCATTACGGGTCACGTCAGACCGACCTTGGGCGAACTTTGACCGACCAATGGAGTGACCAATCAGAAGGCAGCTTTCTCAAATTTCAAATTGGCGACTGCGCTTTATTTTGATAAATTCTCGATTACAAATTTGAAACCTGAACAAAAGAACATTCTGGAATGGCTAATAGATGGCCTAAATTGTATGGATTCGGTCGTTAAACCCGTAACTATCGTTTAGAATACCCCATGTTAAAGCTTTTGAGGCTGCATGATTAGAAATCACAGTCCGACTGTCACTTTCATAATCTGGTAAGCGACGCTGTGATTAGTCGGATGAAAGGTCGTTCTGACGTGACTCCTAATGGGATGTCTTCAGATCTTTGTTTAGCGGTAGCGAGAACTAAGGTCTGATTTTAATGAGATTGCAAACTAGCACAAGTATGATGCTAACTTACCGAAAATCACAATCGGATCGAATGTAAAATCGTGGACTGAACTCTGCCCGGCGCATTGCGTGGCCTTCGGAGATAAGCGAAACTGGGGTTGTTGTTACAGAAGTGTACGAAACCGTCAAGAAACAAATAAGGTTTCTACGCCGCACCGCATTACCACATTCAGGGTGCTTTTCACGTCTTAGGCTTTGTGAAGCCCATTTCTTGTGCCCCACGCCTTGATATTGCTTAACTATTGCTAAAAGCGGCGTAAAACCATACTCACTCAGGTTCTAGGCATCATTAACAATGATTTCGATCAGTTTAGAACATATAGCTTAAATGACTACATTTCTTCTCCGACCTTGTTCATGAGATAAATTTGGATTTGAAGTGTCATTTCAAGAAAACCTCCGTCTGTATATGTTACTGGGGAAATAGTATATAATCATTAATTGTTGGGTTAACTCGCCCACATTTTTTTCCGTTTAGTGGCTGAGTGTTACTTCTCCTCTGGACACAGTGTGTGTTTGTTTGTTTCTTTGTTTGTTCTTTAACGCCGCACTCAGCAATATACCATACCAATATATATGACGGCGGTCTATAAATAATCGAGTCTGGACGAGAAAATCCTGTGATTGACATCATGAGCATCGATCCACGCAATTGGGATACAATGACATACATCAACCAAGTCAGCGACCCTGACCATCCGATCCCGTTAGTCGCCTTTACGACAAGCATAGTCGCCTTTTACCGCAAGCATTAGTTGCTGAAGACCTATCCTACCCCGGATCTTCACGGGTCTCTGGGAACAGTGAGATAAATAAGATTTCCCTACAACAATCTTTGGAAACTTCGTTTAGTATTGAATTCTAATATGCCGGGCATTTTTCTATCAGAGAACCGGTATATAATACTTTTAATGATTATAAAAATACTCATGAAATTATCTAACACCCTGTGTAATAAAGCGCCACACGTATTGATACAAGTAAGTTACTCAATAAAAATCAACAGTTGGAAGGAAATATGACATTTCCCCGAACGCACGAGCACCGCGTGGAAAGCGCGGGAACTGTGCATGCGACTATGTGGCGGGAAGAGTCACGAGGCTGTGCGCAAGCTGTTTGCACGAGACTATGATGTGGGGTCGACTATCCTTTCCTTGGATAGAATTTCGTCCATTGTGTTTTATAGTTAAGTGTTCTTTGTGCCTGGATTTCTCGGAACTATCGTACTTCTTTAAGAAATGTAAGTACAGCGGTTGTGACTGAACTATTGACACTTTCTGTAATTGCATTGTTGATATAGTTTCTTCCATTGTCACGTCTAATGAAAAGGGTATGTAACATCGTAAAACATCCATGTCCGTTGATAGGGGGCTGGTAAGTCTGTCTCCCAGATCCAAGAGAATTTGAATCCAAGAGAATGATTTGGCAAGTCTATATTGCCTCAGCGAAATTAACCATCGTTCTGGGTTCCATTTAGATTTTATTTTTTATTTTGTTAAATTATTTTTTAAATAAGTTGTCTTTATAATTAATACTGGGACTAAATGTTAGTCTACGTGTTTATAACCCAAATGAAAGGTACTTATTTTAGGTTTCTTTATTTAAGTGCTATTGTTTTATATGCAAACAAAATGCACAGTTTCGTAGGAAAGGGTTCTTTGTGAACTGATGCAGGCATGTAATACAGGTTGGGAACACCTACGAAACGGGCTATAAAAGCCCATTCGGCCTATGTGGGGATAGCCCAATTGGGCTATACGAGAACGTTTTCGGTTTTGTGAGCGGACCCCCAAAATACCGATTGTACGATACCCCAAAAGCACATCGACTGACATTAACCATCCATGAAAATAATGAAAAACACAAAAACACCCATCGTTGATGAGGTAGATATTCACACATATACATATCCTACATGCCCAGAGACTTTCAGACAGCCACAGTGACACCAAACCTACCAAAATGTAGACATCAGAGCCGAGGCACACAACACATGCCGCCATTGCGTTGCAACTGCGCATGAACGGAAGCGACAAATACGTTAAAAAAGGTAAATATACATTCCCATAAATTTAGTTGAATGTATGGAAGGTGGATATTGATATAAGATTAGTAATACGCGACTTTGAAATAAGAAACAATGCCAAAACGAGATATATAAATGAGGCGTCATGACATTTAAAGTAATTGATAAGTTGGTACTAAAACTTTCTTGGGGAAAAAAACCCTAAATCCATCGTTAAGAAATTAATAGAAAAACATTTGTTGACAGAAAAACAAAATCCTCTGTGCCCTGCCTGTGGTGATCATTGCCGTTATTGTATTCTCACTGAACATTCGGGGCACGGGTGGCCCTGTCGTCTAAGGCGCCGCGATTCGCTGTAAAGAGTTGTGACCCATGGGAACGCCAGAAACCTGTGATTGTGGGTTCCAATCCCGGTTCGCCCCGATTATGTTTCTAGGTTTGTCAGCACCATACCCGTGCTCGTGGGTTTCACTGAAGTGGTAAACGTCTGAGACCTGCATCGCTCGGGCTTTCCTCCCACATTAAGCTGACACGCCGCGATATAACTGGAATACTGTTAAAAGCGGTGTTAAACCCAACCCAACTCACTCATTCACTTAACATTCAGAAAGTGTCGCATCCATCATTGATGACATGAATAACGGCAAATGTAGTCAGATGAAACTTGCAGCCATAGCATCAGCTATTGCCAATTCTCAACATGTGCAAAAGATTTGATGAATTATGACGGCCTAAAATGGCTAAATGACAGAAATCCCACAAGCATTGCTTTCTTGAGGGGATTATGCAACCTTGAGGATGGTGACTGTTTAAAAAAAAAAAGACCGTCAATGATACGTTGTGTAGAACAATTATGTTTGTCAGTTGTTGCGCCCTGTCCTTCACGACCAATGTGTTCACCTGTCTGTGAAAACTGGCAGCAAAAATGCATGACAGTTGAATTCAAAATCACCATCAGGCTGATACACAATATACATGTGCTACTGGTTAAATGAGCAGGAACCCTCTCCCATAAATTGCCCCACTGGTTCTGATCTCCTTACCGCCTGAGCTGTGTTACAACACTTATCCATATAACTCCTTCCCATGACTGTCCTACAAACACAGACCCAATTGTCGCCATTCTTGTGGCTTAACATGAGCCCCGATACCCTAAAAGTGACGCGACAGGTTTATGATTAAAACATAGATGATTGTGAGAACTTCCGCTTACACGGGAAGTTCATTGAGATCAAATTAATCATGTTTGACCAGCAAACACATGATGTGAAAATCACTGATATGTTTGATTCCGTACCAGTCATATCACCCCAGGCGACCCCAAAACTAAAGGCAAGGGCAAGGGCAAAGCTATTGCCAAGGTTACCAAAAATGTTACAGACAGTACACATGCTTCATCATCCACAGGGGCGGTCGGGTAGCCTAGTGGTTAAAGCGTTCGCTCGTCACGCAGAAGACCCGGGTTCGATTCCCGACATGGGTACAATGTGTGAAGCCCATTTCTGGTGTCCCCCGCCGTGATATTGCTGGAATATTGCTAAAAGCGGCGTAAAACCATACTCACTCACTCATCATCCACACCACACTACACTGCTGTGTCTTGTGGAAGCGATGGCAGTGTGAAATTGAGAAAGGTTACCATACAAGCAAACACATAAGACATGGTTGAAGTCGTGCCAATGTTCAAACCTAAAATTGATGTTGGCCATCCTGTTATGGTCAACCCATGTTCTTACAAAGAAGTTGAGTTCATGGGTTCGATCCAAAAACAAACTGTAGACGAGACTCCTCGTTGTTGGACAGTGATTGGTTGTGACGGTTTTCCAAACAACCTTGATTAGTGACGTCAGTGCTCACATGCGACAAATCAGTATCTGGAAGTCAGGCTTATACAGATCATCTGAAAGCAGTCCACAACAAGGATGTTTCTTATGTGTTAGGGGGCACGGGTGGCCCAGTCGTCTAAGGCGCCGCGATTCGCTGTGCAGAGTTGCGTCCCTTGGGCACGCCAGAAACCTACGATTGTGGGTTCGAACCCGG